TTGATTGTGACATCTAAGCCTTTGAATCTGTAACATCCAAAAATTTTACGCCAAATTTAAACTTTTTCAATCATAGATAAAAGCAAATAGTATTTGTTTACAAAATGTTTTCAAATCATTATTCATCAGAGTGTCCCAATAACTAGATCAAAAGGATGAGGAGCGATACGGTCATGCCTTCGACTTGCCATGATCTCATGAAGTACCTGAAACAATAAACTGAAACTGTAAGCCCAATGGCTTAGTGAGCTACCCCCAAAATACCAACACCACACCGATAATACCATATCAATAACATACAATCAACAACATGCATACTGGGCCATCGGCCTGACTAGACCGCCCTGCAGAGCCTACAGTCTAACTGAATATGCCCCGAGCCTTCGGCATAACTGGACCGCCACGTGGGCCTACAGTCTCCCCGGACCTCTCATAGGGTGTGTTGGCCTTCAGCACAAAGCAGGACCGCCTCAACTCAAACAACAAGCAAATAACCATGTGCGCATAACTAGCATGTACTGACATATATAAACACAAACATATCTATCTCACTGATCATCAATCATAGCAACCTCTCATAACTAGAGCATCGACCTAGCAGGTCACTATCATACCAATCCTTACGGATCATAAGAGCATAACATACTGTCTATCCTAATTCTGATATAACAGATCATAACCATAGGTAGCATACCATAACAATAACAACTAAAGGGCCGGACTTGGTGCCTTAGACCCTATTGATATAGTAAGGATAAATCACCTTGCAGATGTCGACTTGGTAGATTAACTTCAACCCTCGGATCACCGCCCTAAACTCCACCACCTGATACCATAGCATGATCATACTCATAAGTTACCAACCTTTCAAGGTACCCCAAAAGTCAAGTAACAAAACCCTGGTCAAAAATCAAAGTCATCAGTCAAGGTCAACAGTCCATGTTGACCTTAACTCGCCGAGTACCCTCGACTAATCGCCGAGTTCCATGAAATACTTGTCCACTCACCGAGTCACGAGGTGACTCGTCGAGTTCCTTTAGTTTACGATCGAACACTATGGCCACTCATTGAGTTTTCCTTCTTGCAACTCGACTGTTACACCCGCATACATCAATTGGGGAAAACTCATCCGACTCGCCGAGTGGTTCATACCACTCGTTGAGTTCTATGGAAATCTTCATTGGACTCACCGATTTGTTCATCCAACTCTTTGAGTCCAAGCATATCTTCATATGACTTGCCAAGTCGACCTTGCGACTCGCCGAGTTCCTTCAGTCCATAAGCCATACAGACTCTTTTTAAGCCATGCAATGGCTCCAAATTACAGATCCAAGCTTCTAAGGCATGCATTTCACGTAAAGCTACAAACTCTACGTGCATGCATGGCTACAAAGGCTCTAAGTGACAAATCCAAGCCTACAATGGGGTTTTATACTCAAGGAAGGTTTCATACATGGCCAAGTCCATAACTTTTTGACTCTAGAACCTAAGAAAGGTCCAGATCTGAAGTTACAACTTCAGACCTAGCTCATACCCCACATTATCCTCTCAAATATGCCATAAAATCCCTAAATCTCAACCAAATGAGGTCTAGGAGGAAAATGAAGTAAATGTGGCGACTTGATACCTTCAAATGATGCCAACTGAGGTAGATTTTTGATTCCCACACCTTCCTTGCTCCTAATTTGTTAATGTTAATTTTTCATCTTGTTATTTTCTTTAAGTTGTAAAAATCGTTATATTTTTTAATCGAACTTTTATTTATTATATATAATTTATTATGACATTGCTTAAAAATATTTTGGGTTCGCGCCATTATAACGACTCCTGTCATAAATTGTTTTTGAGGACATAAAATTTGGCCAGCATATACGGCCCTGCTTTAATCCTGCACAAAAACTTTTGTAACATATCTTATTATTTTATTCAATAAATTCTTTTATTTGGATCCAAATGTTGCGATGTTTCATTACACTAAACCGATTCATTATAATTATACATATATTATATTTTATAATTGTAAGGATATTATGGAAATAAAAAGAATTCAAGATAATAAAAACTTATTTTGTAATAAACTTAAACATATAGTCAGTAACATGCTATTTTAGTTTTAAAATTATTCAGCATGTGGGTCAATTTTTCTATTGGTTTTTTACAATTTGTTTTGATATATTTTGAATGTAATGAAGACAAACATATTAACGGTTTCATGTATGTACCTGAATAGAATATGATACATCATGCATATGCATATCAAATGTGAAAACATGTAGGGGTCATAATATCTGGATTTTTATCAACAAAAATCTGCAAGTTGTCAGGGAAAAGAGTGATAAGTGAGTTTGATTTTTTCATGGTTTTCACATCTCTTATATCTTTTCCAAATTCCTCTCAACAAACACTTAAATCATATGTTTTCAACTAAAATTTGAAAAACTAAACATAAACCAAATCCAAAACAATATCAAAATCTTCCATGAGTTAAAACTGTAACCTAACAGAGGTTCCCCCAATTATAAGTTTTTATTTTCATTAATTTTTTATATGTTTTTTCTAAGAAAAATAAAATAAAGAAAGAAAGACTTTTATGACCATCCTCTCAAATACATGCCATGCACTCTTTACTCACATCAAAAATTCAAGTCTGGTGCAACTCATGTTGGATGAAACAGCCAAGACAATACATGACTCAACAACTTATATATCAATAGTTTGTATTAGTAGGTAAGGGCACTTAAAGACCATGTCTGAAAGATTCAGGTGGAATAGAATGCATAGAAAGTAATTAAGAAAATAGTATTCAATTTGGTGGCGTAGATAGTTGAGAACATCAATATATTTTGGTAAAAGTGAAATAGCATACGGTTTCTGAATGACAGCTGTTGAGCGAAGCTCATACCAACAGATTCTGCCTTCTTGAAACTGTTTCTGTCTACAAGCACACCAAGGTTATGTGACAAAAATATCAGATCATTACTTCATATTCATATGATATTCATATGATCCTTTAATAGCATTCAACATTGTGTATTCTCTTCTAACTCCCAAGCATGTGTTTTTCCGACACCAACACATTAATTTGACTGTATCCAGAACACCAAACTCTTTCGCCTCCATGAATCCCCTCACTCCTAAAAAAAAAAAAAAAAAAAACACTATTTTGGGTAAACATATAGTCAGAAATTCACATTTGCGCTTACTCTCAATTGGCAATCAAACAGAAATTCGCCATCATATTTGAAAATGCAAAATATCACTCTCTTTTGCCTAGCAAAGCACAAGAAGCCTATGCAAAAATAAAAAGGTAATTAGGTTTGGCAACATTGACGGAAAGTGAAGATCAATTCTTATCAAGAGAAGGAATTATGAAACTATGTGGAGGTTCAGCATACCAGATTTCTTGCTCTCCCGCGCTATTCTAAGCTTGAAAACAAACAGGACATAATAAAGAATCAAATTCGAGTCAATTCAAGTAAGCATGTTGCTTACAAGACAGGAATCCCACAACTTGCAGTTTTAATCATTAAGCGAGAAGTCTACATCCATACGTGTAAAAAGCTCCTTTACACCCAATAACAAAAAAGTAAAATCGATTTACTAAAGATATCCCTAAAAAATTATGAAAAATATGCATAAATTGCTTTAAATTTGAGAAACAGAAATTAACTCTGAGAAATGTCTATTTATCAAGTTTCTTACACGAATGGTGAAAGCGAAAGAGTAAGTCCATATGGTTGCCAAAAATTACATATGAAGAAACCATCTTTGTCGTTACTTTTGTAAAATTCAGAGAGAAAGAAAAGAGCCCCCGATCAGAAAAAGAAATTTCGACAGATTATTTCAGAAGTATGCTTAGTGTGTGCGTATGAGAGAGATATACCGATTGCATTTGAAATACCTTAGGAATCAGAAGAGATGGAATTGAAGCCCTACATTCTTGGAAGAAAAGAAGCCGTAAGCGTCAAACGCAGGCAATCAGAAAGGAAGAAGGATGAAGTTCAAAGATTTTGGAGAGACATATGAAATTGGCTTTGTGAATAAACGATTTCGGGAAGACGGATGTTGAAAATTTAGAAGGACGAAAGAGTGGATACAAATTAATGTGGTTATAATTTGAAACGGGTAAAGTATACTGTTTATAAGCACAATAGGTTTTAATATGATATATAATATATAATATATAATTTTGTAAAACTATTTAATTAAATTTTCTATTATTAATTTAGATAATAAATATAGTTATAAGAAATAATATAATGATAATGTTATTATAATATTAAAATATATTTTTGGTGTAAGTGTTTAGTGTTTGGTTGGAATTGAAAAATGTTTTGGTGTAAAATTTACATAAAATAATATAGAATATAATGTTAAAGTTGAAGTTGCTCTTAGTATCAATAGTTGTGTTCAGCCTGGTGAGTTTGTTTCATTTTAGCATGCGGTAATGTTTTTTTTTATTATTTTTTATTATTTTTTATGTATATATAATTTATGATAATATCTTTTCAATTTATATTGTTTTAATGTTAGTTGGTTGTAAACACAAGAAACTTATTAAACCATAAAAAATATATATATAAGGATTGATTTTCTGATACCTAAATCCAGTACTCGAAATTTAGAATATTCGAAACTCCGGATATATCTGGTTTTACACAGCCCTGGTTGACGACACAGTTATATATGTGGAAATCCACATATACATCTTTATCACAACCGTTAAACATTATCACATTGCCATAGACTTTTTTTTTTCTTTAAAAAAAAAAAAACTTTCAAATTCAAAAGTCATAGGTGCAATAACTGTGGGTAAATGGATGTTGATACTCACCAATAGTTTGTATAAGTATCATTTATTACAAAGACAAGAAGTTGGTGGTCTACTTCTCAACAGCCTTGTTACTCTGCCCCTATGTTTTGTAACATGTCATCAACCAATTTACCGAGTGTAACAAACGAAGATCCACCATTTATCAAAGCCTTCCTGCTTTTCAGACTTATCGTCTCCACTCTCTCTCTCTCACCGGGTTCGTGTCGTCCATCAAGCAATTTATGGCTCGCTCTATCTGATCTGCCATCACCAACTCGGTCCCACTGCTTCTGTATGTCAAACTCAACTCCACAGCCAATCCCAACTCCCTCGCAACCAAAAAAGCATTCAGTTGTTGTTCTGAATTCAATGGCCAAGTTGCAATAGGGACCCCATACCACAGGCTCTCCAAGATGGAGTTCCATCCACAGTGAGAGACAAAGCCTCTAACAGCTCCATGTGCAAGCACTTGGATTTGTGGGGCCCAACCACAAACCATTCCTCTATCTTTCACTCTACCGAAAAACCCATCCGGCATAACCTTTTCATAGCTCGTGTAGTCACTTGGAGCTCCATGCATGGCTGGTGATGGCTGGCGAATCGACCACAAGAACCGGTGGCCACTCCTCTCGAGAGCAATAGCGATCTGCTCTATCTGCGGCTGCTTAAAGCTCCCCATACTCCCGAAGCACAGGAAGAGAACCGACTTCGAAGGTTGTTTGTCGAGCCAGTTTTTGATCTCAATCGATCCAGTTGAGATATTATGGTCAAGCAAAGGTCCAACCGGGTATACAGACGGTTGGGCTACCATTGAATTAACAGCGTATGGTTCGAGCTCAACGTATGAATTTACTATAAATCCTTTGCATTCCTGGAACTTTGTACCAAGATAAAGGGAAGTTTCATACCCACCACCAGTTTTGTCAAATACAGCACCAGGAAGCACATTTACTGGAACATGATTCTGGTAACTTGGGATAAGTGAGTCAGGATCCGATGGGTTAAAACCGAAACCGACTTGGTTGTGGCGGATCGGGAGGTGGAGGAGGAATCCAAGAAAAGCTGTGTTTGATGTAAAGAAGATGTATGAAGGGACGTTGAATTTGTTGGCTACATCGATCATACAACTGCAGAACATATCAAGGACAAATCCAAGTAGATGTGTGGACTCATCTGATACCAACTCCTTGACCGCTTGTTCAACTTGAGATTTATGGCTCTCGATGAAGAGGGTAGCAAGCTTTTCTAAGGATATAGGCGAAGAGGAAGAGGGTTGAGGTCCTTGAGGAAGAGGGTCGGTGGGATGAATTGTGGTGTATTTTATTCGGGCATTAGAAGCAGCAAGCGATTTTGTGTACCAATCAATATCAGTTTGAGCGGGATTACTGATAACAAGAACTGTGATGGATAATCTTTCATCTCGATCGACCAAACACTTTGCAAGTTCTATGGCTGATTTTAGGTGACCATAACCAGGTATAGGTATGAAAACAAGCTCCAACTTCTTCATAGCTGTTATCTGAAGCTGATCAAAGTCCGATCTGAATCTAGAACGATGAGTTATTCAACTTAATTGGTATTACACAAGTAGCATTTTTATAATGAATACACCAGTTTATTTCTTAAAAATTGGGTATGTTTACCGATTCTTTTGTAAGTGGGCCTTTTGGCCCAAGAAAAAATAAAAAAAGAAAAGAAAAATGACGTGCTGTTACATTATTGTTAAAATATTTCATTTATAAGTTATAACTATTGTTATTTAAAAATATATATTTAAATAAAGATCTATTAACCATTCTTTCATCCAAACTAGCAGGAATTATCACTTTTTAAAACAAAAAAATAAAATTAATCTTAAAAAAAGCTTACAATATGCAAATGGTCGTAGCCATTAAAAGTGGGTGTATTATGTTGAAAAGATTTTGCGGGTCTTGATCTTGGATCAGCAACTCTTGTTGGAAAAATTGGATTCTGAGGTTGCACACGAGCAAGGACAGGAGGGGAGAAGGTTGCCTGATAGTATTTTCAAAGAAAAGATCTGTTATCATGGAGGACATTGAGAAGGGGGGGGGGGGGGGAGCAAAATAGGCAGCTGCATAGGGTCTAATTTTTTTATTATATATTTTTATTTAAAAATAAAAACTTTTAATAATGATAAGAATCATTTTTTCTGACTTGGCATGGGCATTTCAAGATATTTAATTCTTCATGACCGACCCAGATTGCTATCAAAATCTACATATGGGTGCTGAGGTGGACATCTCCAATTACCATCATCCAATGAGAGCACATATTCTACAGCTAAGGCTTCCATCCCGGAGTTGGCACCTTTTTAATGCCTATAGTGTCATTTTGCATAAATTGAATTAAGCTATAACCACAATAAAATATAGTATAAATATTGATTAAATAATAGGATAAAATTTTAAAGTATATCTGTTTGATAAAATAAATACCAACTTTAAATTTTCATTGGTCTTTAAGTTTCTATATGTTGGATAGTGTACCTGTGTCCACGTTATCCTTCAGTTTGTACTTTCTAAAAAAAATTAAAAATAAATAAAAAAAGTAAATTTCCATAAATATGAAAATTACTTCATGAAAAAGTAAATTTCCACATTATCATAGACCTGGCAATTCGTGTATTCGTGTCATGAAAACGTGTCAACCATAAATTTGACACGATATGATTACACGATAAGAAATAAGGCTTATCTTAATTTTCAATACGTATTCGTGTGTTGTCGTGTCGTGTGTCTCACAGATTCTTGTATTCGTGTCTGAAATTGCCAGGTCTACATTATCATTTAGTTTGTACGTTGCTATAAGTGTAATGGCTGTAAGGTAGGAAGAAAAAAGTAATCTTGTATGAATCAGACATACTTAATAATTTGAAATAACATTCTGACTAAGCAATGTCGTTTTTCACCTTGACTCAAAACGTGTTTCTAAAATGAAAGACTTAGGAAAGAAAGTATACATTCTTGGATTGTAAAATCTATAAGGGATAAATAAAAAGAATGTTAAAGATTTCATGTCCTTATACATATATTGGCAGTATCTTGAAAGGGATCAAGACACAAGATTCTTTTGGAGAATTCTTGGCATTGTCATATGGCACCATTTTGAGCTAGCCTCAAAAATACATAGCTCATAGGCTTGAACTATATGAAATGATTTGTATTCTATTTGCGTGGCAAGTGAATTCATCATTTACGCCATATTATGCATACAACATGGTATTTAATCATGTTGTAAGCATGTCATAGAATACTAATTGAATACATGGTTAAGTCACTAGATGACTAAGAGAACATTCTAAGGGTACTTTAGAAGAACTAAGAGAATGTACATGAGACAATCAGTTTATAAATAATCTTTATGGAAAGAGCTACACAAGATGTTTATTTCTAAACATATATAAATAATTATGTATTATAATTGGATTTTGAATTCATTATGGAATGAAGGGTAAGTCTTGTTGGAATGAGGCCCAAGTAAAACATAATGACATAATCTACTACAAGATAATAATACACTACTTTATAAGTTTAAATCAAATATGATTGGATGAATGGGATCATTGAAAAACTATGTTGATTTCTGCCATTTAAGTATCACATAGAAATCTTTGTGACTTCGAGAGTACACTTAATCAAGCTAAGAGAATGTATGTCACGATAGAACACCACTTATATTCTCCAAGATATTTGGCTATACTTAGAGTAAAGTTAAGTATGGAGAAGATAGTATTTACAGAATTTACACAAATTAAATTTTGACAGATCCAATGATAAAGTCATTCTTTAAACCATTGTGCTTTCAAACTTAAAAAAGAAAAGAAATAAAAGAAATGTTAAAAAAAATAGTAGGAATACCCAACTTAGAAATCTAACTAGTAATGGAATTACAAAAAATTATAAATAATACAAGTAAATAAAAATTAAACAACATAAAATATAAAAATATCTGTCGCGAAGG